TTGGGCGTGCTGAAGATGCTCTTCGGTTGTTATACTCCTCTGGCAATAGTCCACCTCAAGCCTGGTTCTCACGGGCATTATTAGAGGTTTGCCTCGGCTTTTACCAAGAATCAATTGCCACAATTGATAGCTTCATCTCGTCTGTTGGTTCATTCCGTCAAGCTGATGCTATTGGTAGCACTGTCTTCCGGCACATAATGCAAATTGGTCCAGTGAAGATTCGTTCGCACGCCAACACTTGGCACTATGGTGACATCCCTACCTGTTTTGCTACTAGGTGCCGCATTGACAGACGTTGCAGGCAGTGTTTTGTATTGGTTTAGTGTTATGTACCTCCTTCTTTGTTAATCTCTTTTCAAGATCTTATTCCTAAATCTTTTTTTTCTTTTTCATTTTTGTATCTTGTATGTGACAGTTCCAGTAAAAGCAGTTCCTGTATCTACACCAACGCTTACACATTCTGGTTTCCATATCAGTTGCTAGTTTCAAGGCACTTTACACTGTCACTTTTCCTTGACACAACACGCAAGGGAACACACAGCTTTTAATTACCACTTGCTGCTACTGTGCCACCTATATCACTTAATGTATGTCATTGCACGCTTACTCCCCACCTGCATTTCAACTCCAAATACGTTCCCTCTCTTGCCTCTAATTCCCTATTTAATCACTGTTGTTCTTTCTTTCTCCTGCAACCTCAGAAACGCAAACTCCAAAAAAATGAACATTATTCCACATCCTCTGCTTCTTGACATTGTTCGGCGTCTCTCCCAGCATGGTTTCAGAGAGTTAGGTTCTTTGGTAGCTGCTGGACCCGAGTGTATGGCCCTTGCCTTTGACGAGACCGTCCTTGCTGATGTCGATATTGATGAATTCGTCTTCGCACCACATCTGGCAAATATTGGTTCTGTCTACAGGCCGTTCTTTTTACGGTGTTTGGACGCTGATAATCATTCTGCCCAGTTCGTTGAAGGCTTACGCCTTGCTGCTGAAGCAGGTCCTTCCCAGCTATCAATTGATCTGTTAGGAGCTGCTGCTCCACACATGATATATGCTAGGTTTGCCTTGGGAATTGTTCTTGTTTGTTGTGGTTCTTTTGACCAAGGTATGGTGGTCATGGAATCATTTTTTAATCTTCTTCCTAACATTCCCGAAGCAGTTGAGATTGGTGAAATGTTTCTACATCAAGTTACATCCCTGAGATTACCAAGGAGTGGTCGTTATGACAATACCTTTCGTTTTGGTCCTGGTCTGCCTAGTTGTTTTCTGAACAATTATACGGTGTTTTCCCTTTGTCGTCGATGTTTTGTTTACATGTATGCAACTTGCTTTCGCGATCTATGCTAACTACATCCTATTCTCTACCTTGTACTCACCCAATAAATAAAGTACCTGCTGTTTTCCTTTTACACCAACAGAAGCCTTTTTCCATTAATACTTTAAGGGACATACATGCGTAGTTTGTTTGAGCATCAGATTAATATATGGGAGATTTGCATGTTAAGGCACTTCGAGAGAAAGATATTAGACTTTAGACACTTTATAAAGTAGAGGCACTTTATCATTATTTCGGAGACAACGTATGACGCTTCTGCCCCTCCGTAAAACAAATAAACACAAACTTTACATTAATTCATGTTTTAATATAGATAACTATACCCTAGACCATACTTTGTTAACCCAAGCAACAAAGTGTATACCCTAAAACCAAATTATACAATCCCTAACTACTACTACTTTATATTAATTCATGTTTTAATATAAATAACTATACCCTAGACCATACTTGGAGAACCCAAGCAACAAAATCTAAACCCTAAAACCAAATTATACAATACCTAACTACTAGTAGACCATATTTAGAAAACCCAAGGGAAAACCGTTCGCTTGGTTTCTGATTATCCCAGTTGGTGATGGACTGTTTTGTTTGGACAACCAATAAATAAAACTATACCCTAGACCATATTTCGTAAACCCAAGCGAAAATATTATAATTTCGATTTTAACATCATAGGAATACGAAAACTAATAATACTAAAATATAAACAATTATTGAAATTTTATAGAATTTTCAATATAGAAAACTATACCCTATACCATATTTAGTAAACCCAAGGGAAAATATAATAAATTCGATATATACATCATAGGAATACCAAAACTAATAATACTAAAATATAAACAAGTATTGAAATGTTATAAAAATTTCAATGAAGATAACTTTACCCTAGAATATATTTAGTAAACCCAAGGGAAAATATATTAATTTCTATTTATACATCATAGGAATACCAAAACGAACAATATTGAAATTTTATAAATTTTTCATAAAGATAACTATACCCTAGACCATATTTAGTTAACCCAAGTATATTAAACGTAAATGTGAAATTCATATATTATTAAAACCTTGTATAGACACTTTTTTTTAACTAAACTTCTATAATACTCACTAATAATTATAAACCGTTCGCTTGGTTTCTGATAATCCTAGTTAGTCGTGGACTGTTGTGCTTGGACAACGAAACTCGTATCTATAGACGCAACGGTTCATTGATAATAAAAAGTAACCATTGCATTCAATATTGATCCTTATTTTTGGCTTTTTCGTATTCATTGTCTTTTAGAGTTCATTGAATATAGGATAAACTATTAGAGACTGTACATACATCCAACTATGTTCGTGGCTTTCAGACTTCCAATGTTTTTTATATTATATATTAGTTACCCCTTTTTCTCGCCAAAGATAGACTTTACACATAAAAAAAATAGATAAAATAACCAAATCTTTCTGTCTCCACCATCTCGAAGAACTAGGGATTTAGGTTTTGCAATTCGATATGGGTCATTACCACAGTCTTTACGAGTTGTCACCTGTGATAACGGGATGAACGATCTGTGTTATGGTGCTTAGGGTTTACAAGAAATGGATCAATCAATCCTCGTTCCAACTTCGCTTGGTGTTGGTCGATACATCGGTAAGTTATCTACTGTGTCATGTGTAATTTTATCTCTCAATTTATCATAATTACTTAACATGCAATTCACAATTGTTTATTAAAGGGCACCCAAATTGAGGCAATAATCGATCGGAGTTTTTCTAAATTTTACTATGAAAAAATCAAAGAAAATCAGTGGAAAACCATAACAACATTCCGTGTTCGCCCTAACTCGGAAAAAGTTAGAGCGACCTCTCATACTTATGGGATATGGTTCGTCGATGAAACTTGTGTCACATCTGCTGATCCTAGAGAAACTGTCCTCTTTAATAATTTCACACCTTTCGACTACATTGTTGAGGACACTGTCCCAACAAATACATTGATTGGTAATTGGAATTCCCTTTAATTTAAACTTAGTCTTCACATATGTTTAAACGCTTGTACCGATCATATTAATCTTTGTGTATTTCAGATATAATTGGTGCTGTCGTCTATGTTGGTAGCCTGACCAATAACGCTCCGGATCGTGCTGATATCAATGGATACAGAATTCCTTTCAAACTCATGGATAGGAAGTAATTATACAATAAATATATATATCCGTTAGGAATTATTTCATCGTTTCCTACCTAATTTGTGTTTATATATGTTAAAATTATATTTTTGATATTTTCAGCCATGTAGTACTGAGATGTGAGGCAACTGGGCAAACCGCCCTAGACTTTGACAGTAGCTACCGCAGATTAGGTCATCCGAATATTATTCTTGCTCTAGCTTGGTGGAGGATTGATAGGTATGCAGCAAGGCCGGAAAGTGTGAGGATTGTTAGCCATGGGCCTATATCGAAAGTTTATTCGGAGCCAGATATTGAAGAAGTGAAAGAGATCAAAATGGTGGTCGATTAACTTATCCAAAAGCTAAAAATAATATTCATGTCTCTCTTAAGATGATTGGTGAATGTTTTTGTTAAACTTTTTGTAAGGATGTACTCTGATGTAATATCTAACCCTTATTCTATCTCCCTTATATGTAGTTATGTATTAAGTTTTTGATAAACCTTTGTTTATTATGTGGCCTTTTTAATGATTATGTAAGTTTACATTATCCATATAACTTGTTCAAATCCTATCAGAGATGATATACTTGCTACTACTACTTTATATTAATTCATGTTTTAATATAGCCTAAAACCAATAGAAAAGGTTATGGATGGCTTACTATCTGTATTATTAGATAAAATTAAAATAACTTTCTAATTTTTTTGTAAAATTAGTTATGATTCATAAATACTAATTATTATATAAGTATAAAATTTAAATAAGTTGTTATTTTTCCTATGATTCAAGTCTCTAACTTACTAAATATTCAATGGACATGGATGGATTACTAGATTTATTTTTAGATATTAGTACATAATTTACCCTTAATTATTGGAGTTATATGTTATAGTGACCCCCTGTTAAGAGTGACTGTGTTTTGTGAACTGAAAACCCTATCGAGTTGATCCAGATGGACGATATACTTTGGCTATATAGACTTGGACACCTTATTAACAATGTAGCTAATTAGGTCAACTCATATGTTAAATATATGATATATTATTTGTGCGGGAAATTTCCCCCCATAATGATTTAAACTTTTCACTGTTAACTCTTCTTTAGTAATGGATTGGGTTTTAGATTAGTTATTGGGATAATTAACAAGTACACATAATCAAGAAACCATTTTGTTTATAATTATACAAACAACATAATTTATTAAAAAGGTTTGTATTTTTCAAAGTCGTAGAGATGTCCAAAAATAAGTATCCATATCACATAACATATTGTGAATGGAATGAGTTAAGGTGTCCAATACTAAAAATCCACGTTTAAAAATATTTATATTTAAAACGGCGTCGCATATAATCAAACCTCCCCCAAACACGATAATCTGGAGCTTTTCTTTCCGAGATTTTTTTCCATATATAGATTCTGATATTCCGGAGTAGGAAACACGATGTCGTCATGCGAAAGTGGAGGTGAGTAATCTATAATTTAAATGGTAAAAAATTTGGAAAAAGCTATTATCGAGATAAATGATGATATCTTTTTGATCTGGTGTAGGAGTGAGCAACCTGTCCTCTCACACCGTGAGTGGAATCCCTCGGCAATGTACATGTGGCCAATTATCTGTGATGAAGACTTCAAAGACCCCGAAAAATCCTGGTAGACTCTTTCATTGTTGTCCTTACGGATCGGAGGAGGTAAGCAGATAAGCAACATCAATAGGAAAATCTGATTTATTTGTTAACATTTGATTAAAATTTTGTTTTGCCAAATATAGAGTAAGAATCATTTGTTTAAGTGGACCGACATATCCATGGTTGAAGAGATGGAAAGTGTTAAAAGGGTGGTTAAGACTCTGGAAGAAGACTTGGAAGTGATAGAGAAGAAATTCAAAGAATTTGAAGATTTTAAGGAACAAACACAGAAAGAGATTGAAGGTCTTAAGTGTGGACTGTTGCTATGTGGGAAAGATAGAGAAGATATTTGTGTGAAGAACAAAGTATTTATCTTTGGTGGTTTAATCATGGCTTTCGGATTCTATGTATTATTCAGTTGAGAGTAGAGTTAGTAGATTTAAGTATGAAATGTAATGTATGTGTGGGACTACTTATTCTATGAATTATGTTTCCATTATGTTTCATCCGACTCAAGTAATCCGATTTGTTAAGACTCAGTTCATGTGAAGGATAATAGATAAGAATAATCCCATGAATTTCAGAGAAAATAATAGTTTGGGTACAGAGTACATAATAAAGAAAGGAAAACCAGAGTAGGTGCCAGTATCCACAGGAATATAGTAGGAAAGAAGGGAAATGATGGTTACGATTACAGAGAAAATTATAGTTTGGGTACAGAGTACATAATAAAGAAAAACAGAGTAGGCGCCAGTATCCACAGGAATATAGTAGGAAAGAAGGGAAATGATGGTTACGATTACAAACAGAAACTTGGGAAACATGTAGACACTAGGCAGCAAAGTCAGATGCATAAACAGGACAGACAAGATGCTCATAAATATCCATTGCATATTGACGCCTGAAAGAGTCAACGTGTTTGTCAGTGATTTTCTCCATTTGATCTGGGAGTTTATCGCTTGCCATTATCTCAAGAAATTTCATAGCAACCGGGCCACAGTCACCAGATCTAACATTCTTGTATACACCATGTATTCGCCTCCACAGGAAAGGTTTTAGTCCATGGTTCTGGGAACATGCGGGCTTACAGTACCTCTGGATGAGGTGTGGCAAAAGGGTAACAAGAGGCTCGATAAATTCTTTAACTTTTTCCTCCGAATTGAGGTCAGTATTTGGGTCGAGAATTTCAACTTCCCAGACTCCTAGATTGATTGAAAGGCCTACCCAGTGGGAAGAATTCCAGATCATAGGTACGTAAATGGTATCAATGTCTGTGAACCACTCGGTGGTGGGGCCAACAATAAAGCGTTTCATGGGATCGGACCAGCGGACGCGAGATTTTATTTTTGCTGCTTTGAAAGATTTGTATTTTCCTTGTAAATGGTTAGCAAACCATGGTTCAACAAAAGCAGCACGCTGTGTGGCAAGTCTTGTTGCAAGCCTACTAGAAAGTAACTCCACTAAAACCTCCATGTGCTGTGGAAAGAAAGGCTAATATATTATTATCTCTGAGTACTGGCTAAATACAGAACTATGAGTAGAAAATAAAATATAGTTACCAGAGTTGAAACCCAATTTTGAGGTTTTGCAAGCTTGAGGAGGAATGAGTTGGGAAATAGGAATCCAGAATCCGTAACATGTTCCATGAGAGGAGTAACAAGGATAGTTTAGGTGCCTTAATGACCACATGTGAGGATTGAAGAAAAAAATTACAGTGTATGCATACGTATTAGGAGCTGATGAAAGGGTATCCAAAAAATGGGCATAATCTGTCTTTTTAGGAGTGGTAAAAGTTGGTATGCCTCCATTTTTGGTTTTGATAAAAACTCAGCTACAAGAATAGACTCAGGTTCCGAAAGAATAGGTTTTTCTCTCGCTTGTGCTGGTGATGAATCTGAAACATCAACTAAATCCTCTTCTATAGGGTCTGATGTGTTAGACAGTTGCGAGTTATTATCCTGGAAGATAAAATAAAATAAGCAATCATAATACTGTTAGATTAAAAAGACCAAATTAGGAGGAAACAAAATAGAAAGTACATATGAAAGACTAACAATGGAATATTCTTTGTCCTGCAGATAAAAGAGAAATTGAATTTTAAAAGTCAATATCAATATAAACTTGTTCTATTTATAAAAGGATAAAATTATAAGTAAACCTGATTATCCACAATGTTTTGTCCATCAATGTTTTCTCTTAAGAAGATTTTACCCTGCACCAATATGGAAAACATTGTAAAGTTAATGGGATTAAATGGTAAGAAGTAAAGAATGACTGAAATAGTTCATAGGCAGAGATAATATGTCCATACCTCAGTTGGGGATGATTGGTTGCTTATCTCTGATTTGGATGTGGTATCAAAAACAGGATCCCCCACCAATACCAATGCCTACAAACATAAATAATATAAATCAAGAAGGCATTTATACGGCGACCTCTATAATAAGGGTATGAGAAGTTTTAAGGTAGACCATATTCAAATTTGCTTGAGAAATTACTGTATCAGGGGTATGAACAATCTTTACGTGGTCCTGTGAGTATAAGTAGAAATACACATAAGAATTTGGGAATTGGTATACAAAAAACTTTAAATACACGTCATACAATACTGGCAAAGTTTAAGAGAAGAGAAGACCTGCAGTGGATTATCTTCAGAGATTGGTTGCATAGGTGTATCAATAATTTCCTGAGATGCAATAACACTAACCAATGTTTCCTGAGTGTATTAGCAAAAGGAAAATGGTCAAATAGATAAGTCAAAACAAGTATCCATTAATTCCTGACCATTATAACAAGACACACTCGGAAACTACTATCTGTTTTTGAAGGTATACCTTTATTGGGACATCTTCAGCAAATACCAAAGGCTGCAAACAACAAATAAATCAAATAACTATCAATATTATACTGGAATGGGATCATAATCAATGTGCTTAACCTGTAAGAATAGTTAGGTTGAACTGTTAAACAAGAGAGAAAAAAAACTGGAATGGTCGCAAGATGTATATGTGTGCAATTATACCTTGGAGCAAGATGGATTGTATTCGTTACCGTCGAGAGCAGAATGGGTATTAAAACCAAGGGAATCTTTGTTGGCAGTGTCATAAATGGGATTTCCTTGATGTGTATCAGGCTTATTAGGCTCTTCTGATGGGAGTGGGGTAATCAAGACATCCATGGGGTCAGCACCAAGCACCTGATTGTCATATGTGAAGCAATGATTAATTAAAGGGTAATTTTAAAGAGTAGCAATAAACCAGAACACATACCGGGGTTTTAAATGTCGTTCTTTCAATGGAGTCCTCGACAAAACCATCAACCACATCATGGATGCCCAACTGGCCAGGATACCCAAATACCTCCCGGTATTGTTTCCAGTTGTGCTGAACACCATCACCAACCAATATATCTCCAGGAGATTGAGGTGCGACATCCGATATATTGAAATTCTTTGGATTGTGGTTGTTTAGAAAGGTAAAAAATGTTTAATATTATATAGATATTGTTACACAATAAGTAGGAAACAAAAAAGATATAACAGACATACCTCCATATCCAAATCAGTGTTAGTTTGCTCGAACCCGGAGTTATATGCTGACTGATTGGTGTAGCCTTCATTGTTGTTTGCCATAGGCAAATAATTGTCTGATTGTGATCCGAAATTGTCAGCATTGACTTTGGTTGCGCAGTGATCCTGTAATGTTAAACCACTTTTTATATTAATATTATAGTTATAGTCATAGCTATGTGAGTGGTAGAAGCTATAAACCTCCATAAGAAAGCCTTCATGTATGTGTGGGTTTGATAAAAATTCATTGCTTGAACGATCATTCTGGTAAGAAATAGTAGTTGTTTCCATAAGGTGAGGGGCAAACAGTGTCACTGAAGGAAGGGTAAGATGTATACCTCATTGGACATATCATCCGGAGTGGTCTGAGATTTAACACGAACTTTAGCTTGCGTCATGCGCCTGGATCTAGAGGCATATTCACCACATCTAGAAGAGAGTTTCCTAGAGCGCTTGAATATGATTGCCTTATTTCTTTTTTCTAGCTTCAATACACGCTTTGATAGCTCTGCCACTTGGTTTTTCAGTTCCACCATTAAAGAAGACTTCTCATCATCACATAGAGTTAGAGAAGACCGGCTACGGGTAGCATAGCGATGCTTTGATTTTGGAGACTGAGACTTCACACGTAGTCGCGTGTTAGATTTCTTCTGCCCTGGTTTCTTTTTTCGCTCGACAATGTGCCTTTTATGAACAACTGCGACTTTCTCTTTTGGGATAGAAATGAATGGTAATGAGTCATCACCTCCTGGCCATTCAGATTTATTGAATTTATTTGATCTGAGTATCAGTTCCAACATATAAGCTACTTTCTTGTCTTTCACCTCATCATCCCACTCCCCCCAAGATTTGTCAACATTTTGGCCAAGAAGAATATAAGGATCCACTTTTTCCTGACCAAACAGAAGGGTAAATTGAGTAACAAAGAGGGTATGTAAAGATGAAGATACCAAGGTTGGAAACTTATACCTTCAGGTGGTGCTCAAGAGCGTGTATTTGAGAAAGAGAAATTAATTGTTTTGGCAGAGAGACTTTATTCCAGTGTTGGATAGTCAATGAGGTGGAATCATCAGTGACCAAATCAACCATGCCAGGAATGTTTCGAAATGCTAGGAGTTGCAACGCAAGCGGAAAACCTTTCAGATGGAATGTGATCTGCTGAAGTTGTTTGGCGAAATTCTTCACAGGATCAGTTGACACCAATTTTTTCCCAGTGCCTGATGGTAGAATACACTTCCCGGGTCTCATGGATGCTATTGTCTTCATAAATGACTCTCTACCCCAAGGGAAGGCAAGGAACGCTTCAATATCTGCCAACATCTCAACATATTTAAATGTGGGCCTCCCAGTTTGGTTTGAGGCTATGAGGACACCATCAACAATGAGGAGATACGCAAGCTTAACTCTGTGTTCAGGAGACAAGGGTTTTTTGGGGTTGAGGAGCATTTTAGATACATCACCTAAGGTTGCGTCCTTATCTTTCCCTATTAACTCGTTCCAGTAACAATCCTGCCCTTCAACATAAGATGGCTCACTTTCTGGATCATAGTCCTCTAGAAATTCACCGCAGGGCAAACCAGTTAAAGCACCAAATTCAATTAGGGAAAATCTCAGGGGTTGTCCACCAAACACAGTCCATAATTCATACTTCTGTTTGGTTATCAACTGCCTACATAGCAAAGAATGTATCAGCTTGCAAGAACTAGGGCTTCGACTTACCGGCAAGTCGAAGAGAGGACCGAAGCAAGATTGCAGAATAGTGTCGAATTCCGGTGTCCCATGGAAAATAGACCGGATAAACGAAAGAATGTCGGGTTTACAATAGACATTTAGCCTCGCTTTGGGATAACGATCAGTGGCGAAAAGTCGATTAGGAAGATTTGAATCCCATTCTGAAGAAGGTTGCTTTGAAGTCGAGGCTGCAGTTGGTTTTTGAACTGGTTAATTGCATAAATTAGTTATGAGAACATG